GTGTCATCTTCATTTCATTAATCTTATCAATCACCAATTTTGATCGTATCGTTCCTTTCCGGGTTCTTGACAGATATACCACTTCTCCTTTGTCTTCTTGCGGCGTCATCTTGATAGGAGAGTTTGCCTCACTTTCATCAGTGGCTGAGTCGAGCTCCCTTCACACTCGTCGAGTTTGTCAAGGACCTCCCGCATTAGTGGTCGGTTGAGACCTAGTTTCAAAATAGACTGGGTACCGTAGCTCTGAACTACTGCCCAGACCTCTTCTATGAACGCTACTCTATCCATTCTACATCCCGTCCTATTTTCATGGTCTCTGTGATGCACCTCCCATTCTTCTTCGGGCAACGTTCCCAAGAAAAGTACTCTGGCAGCGCCTTCAATTCTTCTTCTCCTTGGTGATTCCATGAGGAGTCTTTGTTCGTTGTCTTTAGAATTTCTCGGAGAGCCGCTCTCCGGCAAATTTCGGTTCGCTTCCATAAAGGCCGACGGGGGTTCCAGCGTGGAAGTACCCTCGTCTGCTGGCTCAGTCGTCTCCAACGCATCCGCGCCGCTTTCAAAATCACTGAGGAAATTGAAGTCTAGGCTAGATACTCCTCCTATCGATGCCTTATCGTCTTCTTTCTCGGCCTAATCGGGATCCTGTTGCATTGGTTCCTCCGATCGGCGGCTTCCTCCCTGCCCATCATCTCCTTCTGACTTCTCTCTCGAATTTGAGGGTCCTTGCTCTCCACCTCTGGCCCCTTCTGGGAATTTCGGTATGATTAGCCTGCCAGCTGACTGATCTTCCTCCTCTCCATAAACTATTTCGACCTCCTCATAGCCGAAGGGTGCTAGCAAGATACTCGTCTGAAGCGTTCCTCCCACCGTTAACTCCGGTTTCACACTCGTCAAAATCAAGGAGGCTTCTGGTAATTCGGCTCTGCCTCTCATCCTCATAGGCGCTAGATCCAGTTTCGCCCATTCCTCGTCAAATCTCCCAGGCTTCGGAGTCACTGCGTTGCTTATTCGCCTTCTCATTGCATGATCCGTGTAAGCAAACTGCGTATGCTTAACACTGCGGCATTTCTTCCCACAAAACACGGATCCATCGCTTTCGAGAATTTCGCCATCCTCCTTTCCTTGCTCTCATAGGATCTCAACCCAGGAGTTTGCGCTGCGCAGACTGCTCCGAGCAACATCCTTCTTATCAGAGGGAATTCAGGGGTTTCCTCAGGCAGCTTCTTGTAATCACCTTTAGTCTCTTCTCTCAGCTTGTGGTATGCCGCAGTGAGTCGAGGAATTCTTGTGATCTCGCCATTTGTCTTGTCATAGGGCCTTAGATTCCAGAGCTTTGGGAATACTTCAATGTGCCCACTTTCTACTTCTCCCATGCGATCGCGGAAGTGATCGTCGAAATTGACGACCGTCATCTCTGGCTCCGATATCTTTGCAAACAACAGATCTTCGCTCATGAGCTCTCGCAATACGTGCTGCTCACACCAATTCAGTGCACTTCCGTCCACTGCCGATATGAGGTTTAGGAGTAGCACCGACCTCCTGTATGCTTCCACCTTAACATCAGGGAACGCAAACGTGACTGCTGGTCCATATATGACCGTCACGAACTCCGTGGCTCCTCTGATCAACGCTGAGGGATCGGTCCTCATAGCTAAGCTCAGATCAGTTAGCAGGGGCATGCCCCCAACATGTCGTCGCACGTCCTCCTCCCTCTGGATTGTTTCATCCTCTCCTGTTCCAAAGCGATTCTGCTGCAAGAGGTACTGGATAAGAGTATGTCTCAAATCTCTTATCTTGTTCCAAGAATCCGTAGCTCGCTTCACGTCGAATTTCTTCACATGCTCTGTCATCTGCTCTGGGTAGCGCGTAAAATTCATCAGTCCTCCCAAGTTTCCACGCGTTATCGCGATCTACGTTAGATGTCCATCTAATCGCAAGTTTTGAACTCCTTCGGTGAGCAGTACCACCGGTCCTTTCTCAAAATTTCTTCTCCAAACGTCACGAACAAGGCTAGTAGCTCAACGATCGATACTTCCACTACTGCTTGGAGGAATTGTTTTAATCAAATATCGGGAAAGTGTTGGGTAAATTTTCGCCAGGAACGACGCGGTCCATCCGGCTCCTAGCCCTTCCAGCATGCTATCATCCGGTCAAAGCCTTCTCATCCCTCTTTTTCTGGGTCCAGAAAGTTTCCAGGGTAACTTGCCACACTCTGTTTACGAATTCGGCTGACTTCTCTTCAGCATTTTTGGCCAGGTTCACCTCCTTCACTAAGTAGGCATGGATCTTCCTGATCATTACTGCGCCTTGCTCGAAATCATCCGCGCCCAATGCCGCTACTCGAGGGGTTAGGTGCAGTCACTGGTTAGCCTATGATTTCGTTCTCAAAACCATTGCTTCCAAGTGAGCTCTGGTCTCTTTGAAATTCTTTCTTCACTCTCCTTCCTCTTTTATTTCGTTTCCTCGGAACCATAAATAGTTTGACATCGCTACGATTACTCGATGGTCATCGTCAATTCCCGGCTTCAATTTGAGTTGTCTACTGAAGTTGGACAGTTCCAACCCCAGCACTTCGTCCAATACTAGCAAGTAATTCAGCCCTGAGTCGCCTCAGATTCTCCATCTCTATCTCGCGACTTGGGGCAGATATGATCACATCATATTTCCCTTCCGAGAGCAAAGCCACAATCGCATACACGAACTTCAGTCCATCCGGGAGACGTGCATACCCTGGAGACAACGCGAACACGACTGTCGGTGTTATCTTAGTGAAGGCACCCTCTTTCAGGGTATCTACTACTTCACCCATTGACTCGATGATATCTTTTATAGCTGACCATACAGCGCTTTCGGCCGTCGTAGTCTCTCAGAGTCTGCTCAGGAAACCCCTACTGTGTAGATGGTCATTGATGCTAGCGAACACAATTGTGATTGGGTTCATTTCTGTCTGCCGTTATACTCCGATTGCCATTGACCGAGATTGCATTAGGTCTAGGTCGACCGCTGCCAACATTATAACATCAGGCCAAAACAGAGACTTGGAGGTATATACAAAGTCTGAACTCGCGACTATCATAATTTTGGCCTTCCTCATTTCTGCCTTGTCATATGCAGTCAAGATGGTCTCATCTTTCTTTATCGCTTTCAACCCACCGTATATCTGATCATCACCTTCTTGATTCACTTGTTTCGGGTACGCTTTTTCTTTCATGTAGCCTGGGGGTGCTTTCACCTGCCTGAACATCTTTACATAATGTCCAATTGGTGCCCTCGTCGTCAGGAATCTTCCGGGTCTTTCTTCTCGATTTTCTTCATCATGATTCAATTTCGCGTCTTGTAACGGTCTTGCATTCACTGGACCCATTGTATCGTTCGAGGGCAGTCCCTCTAGATCGGCAAACCTCAATGCAGTTGAAGAGCTGAAGTTTATGCCAGCAGCTATTAATCAGTCCTAGCATGTTATCGAGTACAGTCCGTTGACAGACAATCTCGCTCCGTTCAACATCCTCATGGCATCTGCTGCAAAGCTCACCGTCTGAAGGTTCAGTTTCATCAGATCCTCCTTGTACATGTGCCAGGGAGAAGGTATGGGCCTCGACCACATCAAAGAACTCCTAACTGGGCGTCGCTCCTCTCGACTGGTGCTCGTCGTCTCTGATCTCGTATCCGATCTAGAGGTGCTGGTCGTTTCCGCTGCCGATTTGACAGGCCCTAATCTTCGTCTAGGATTGATGGTTCTTTTCTTGGGCGCTTCCCCCAATCAATCTTGTACGTCCGTTCTTTGCCCTGGCTCGCTAGAGCTTTGCAGCCTATAGGTCGTCACGGCTGGGACCATTCCGAAACGTGTTTCTAAGTTAGGAGGCACAAAGGTTGAAATTGCCGGTTTATTCGATGTTTCTTCCTTCTTCAGCACTCCCGTGTCAAAGAGTTCTACTTCCATTTCATCTAATTGCTCTTGGAAGACTCGGTTCAACCAGGCTTGTCCTTCGATGCTGTCAAAGTGGATCCCGTCAGAAGTCAGTCTGGCCTGATCCATAGCTCTCAGCTTGTGCTCAATATCAATATCCATAAGGATCATCCGTCCAGGATTCCGACTCGCAAGATTCCTTAGGATGTTGTTCCACCTGATTACTCCTTCATTGTGTCTTCTCCTTGTTGCTGTCAACGTCTTCGTGCTCATTGGTACAGTGCAGACGGTCAGTACCGCGCAGTTGAATCTCTACCAGAGAGTAGTAAATAGGCACACCATCATTGACTCCCATTGTGCCTCTTCCTCATCTGAGCTTCTCGATATGTTATTCGTCCCTACTATGATTATAACGTTAGGGATTCTCCCTGGGTTCATCAGCTTCATCATCCGAAATAACTGGGCTATCGTTGCACCTCCAAAAGCCATCAACTTAGTGATCCAGGAAGACATCAAATTTTGGAGCACTATGACCAAACTGTCCCCCAGTATCAGATGTGATGTGCCAAGTGGCGGTTGCTACATGTTTACTGCTGGGCTCCAAGTTGATCGATTGAAGCAGGCTCTCGGATCCGTATCCGGAACTCCTGTGAAGCTATACTACAACTGTTTGTTCTTTTGCACGTCAATCACTCGCTAAACTTTCTTCGCCGGCATCTCTCGTATCGTTCTGTCTGGGACCCTAGAGCTCCTTGTTGGTAACGCTGCATTACTAACTCCCTCTCTGTTCATCACGTCTTGGGAGAGTCGTACTCTGCCCGTGTCATCGATCGTTCCATAGGGAGCAGTCACCCCGGAACCTGGCGCATTCCTATTGGTAACCAATCGTCCAGCTGTTTCTATCAGCTTTCTCACCGTTTGCTCCACGACTGGGTCACCTAAGGTATCACTCGGGTCCGGGATTGTCACTCGACCAGTTGTAGCCGGGAGTCGCGTTTCTGTCGTCTGACTCATTTCTCGAGGCGTCAAGAGCTCCATCGGGGACTGCCCACGAGGAGTAATCCTTGTAGTTATCGCTTTCTCTTCGATGTCGTCAACGCCAGCGCCGCTCCGATTTTTCTTTGTACTCCCGCCTCAAGCACTCTCTTTCTTCACCCTGTTTCTTGTTGCAGTCCTCAAACAGTTTCTTCCACATGTCTCTATCTTCTTCCATACTGAGCATGGTCTTAGTCATTTCATCCAGCTCCTTCTTGGTCTTTTCCAGTTCGTCTTTTTTCCCATTTAGATCTTGCATGGTTTCGTTCAATTGAACCTCCTCTTCTACTCTCGCCCTCTTTGGTGGCACAGCTGCTCTCAGTTGTGAACTAGACGAGACAGCCTCGCTGTTCTTTTCCTGATGCATCCTCCTCAGTCCAGGCTTAGGCTTGGTGGGCAAAGGCATCTCACCTGGCTGGTATTTCCTCGAACTTCCCAATCTAGGCTCATTCGCCAAGTCACTCCCTGAGAGAGCCCCGTTTCTCCACCTCATCCCTCTCATGTTAGGGCGGTCTAGTACTCCTCTTTCTCCATATGCTGCCATCAATAAGACTTCCGTGGGGCGGTCCCCACGGTTATCATGCCCCAAGATGTTTATTAAGGCGGTCAGCAACATGACCACATCTGGTCCTCCAGAGCGAAGTCTCGATCCAGTAGCCTCCGATAGATCGCATCTACTATCGGTCGCTTATATGCCTCTGCCAGGTCCATCAATTCGTCCAAGTTGAAATTGTCCATTTTCTTGCAGGTTTGATTTTACTATCGATTCGATGATTTGAACTCAAGTAAGTAATTAAACGATCAATCAGGATCTAGAAAAGAGGTCACGAATATCGCATTCATCAGCTTTATACTAGTTTTAAATAATTTTTTTTTAAAACAGTCAGATACAAAGATTTTGATCCTAGAATTTATTAAAATCAATCAGCTTCTAAAATTTTGGAATTCGACCTAAGAATGGACAGTCCAAATTTTGGATCTATTCCTAAGATCGTCATTCAGTTGTTCATGGTTACTAACTCTTCTTACCCAGGGTTTTTATAAGATAACACATAACTTAACATAACACACATATCACACACAACACACATTTAGTATGACGCCCTCCTGGATGCTACCTAAACTCAGCCTATACTTAAGTAATATTTCTTATGTAAGTATACTTGTATATTAGTATCAGAGAAGATTACGTGTATCAGTGTGTACAGATCCCGTGGATGCAGTCGTCCTCTGTTCGGATCGTACACTGGAAGCAAAAGCTCCTTGATATCCCTTTGCACGAGGAAGTCTCTCAATCTCGTCAAGGCTAAGTTTTCCGGGTAAGTCCGTTTAAGACAAGGCTAAGTTTTCCGGGTCCACGTGCCGCTTCTCCGTCGCCCTCGTCACCAAGAAGCATAAGTATTTTCCCGGTATCTGTGACGCCGCCCTAGGCAAGGCTGCTACGCCCCCTGTTCCTGGTCTTTGCTTCCAAAGTAATTCTATGTTTTTATATTCTCTCTTAAAATCTGCTGCATGTTCTATTTGTGAGTATGAAATCGCTATCTGTCAATATTATGCTACTTGAGTATTCATTTGGTAAGTTAAATTATGACTCAACTACCCTCCCTATGTCCGGTTTCTTAGGGTCTTCGCCTGTTTCTGCGTCTAAATCTCCTGTCTCTCTTGCTGTTCTTAATTTTTTATGAATAAATTTTCAGTGTGGGTAATTCTTACCCCCACTACCCGGACCAAAATATCCATCGACGTCCCCGTCGATCGCATACCGGATATCAAGTCGAGGTTGGAAGCTGAAATGAGTAATTGCCCTTCCTGGGCAGCCCATGAAGGATCCTCTCTTTCGGTTTTTATGTATTTCATGCTTTCACGATCTACATCTTGAATCGTGACACTGGTCTCCTTTGGGTCCGACGTCATTTCGCTCAGCCACTCCAAGACACGCAGATTCGTCAAATCTTGTTCGTAGGATTGATGTTGCTCTTCGTCGAATTCTACCTCGGGATTCGACCGGTCCTCGATCCATTCCTCATCGTGGTCATCTACTATGTCGATGTCTTGCGACACGTTTATTCCTTCTAGACCCACCACTTCTTCCAGTACCTTCTTTAGATCTATCCTGTCCACTACAAAGTCGTCGCCGTAAGGGTTATATTTCTTCTTAGATCTTGTCCTGTCATTCTGTCGAGTCTGTATTGTGAACGGAAGATCTGTTCCAAATTATTGGGGACCTCCATTTGTTCGGGGTCTTACCAGTCCTCCTCCGCGTAGGGTAAGGTTTCTTCATCCGCTTCAATCACCTCGTTTGGATCCAGGACCAGTGGTGGACTTGTTCCTTCCTCTACGATTTAATTTCCATCGTTGTCTTTACTGGTGCCCTTCTCGCTGACCTCACAAGCAGGATCCATCATTAGATAATCCACCTCTTCCATGTCTGTAGGTATGCACCAGTCTTCTGTCGATGGGTTATGTGGCTTAATATTCTCGTAGTGGGCAGCTCGGCCAGTACTCAGTCTATAAAAGCGTCCCTCCTGGTGCACTTCCGTAATCATGAAGGGTCCCCTCCACTTTTTAGGAGCTTTTTCGTTCCTTTCGGTGGTATAACGTTCTGAAATACCCATACGTAGTCTCCTACCGAGTAAGCTTTTGCACCAGCTGCTTTCTTGTCGAATCTTTTCCTCTGCCTTGCCTGTGCCTGTTGAGTATTTCGTCTACATAAGTCGTTTAACTCCTGTTGACGTCTAATCACATCCCTTGCATAGACCTGTGGTGACGTTTTCTTACCCTCATACTCTGGGTAGAAGAAAGTCAGGGGCAAAGACTTCTCGTGTCTGGTTAGCATCATGTGTGGACTAACTCCGATGGTGGAATGTTGCGTGCTGTTATAAGCTCCCATCACCTGTGGAAGATATCTGTCCCAATCGGTCATGTACCTGGAACAATAAACCCTCATCATCGGTACTAAAGTTCGATTCTGCCTTTCCACTAAGCCATTCGTCTGGGGATGGTATGTCGTGGAGTGGGCCTGAGCCAACTGCAAACGCCGCATGAGCTCTTTTATAAGTTTTCCCACGAAAGCTGTTCCGTTATCCGATTGGAATGTTATCGGACAACCATGTTTCGCTATCCACGTGTTGATTAGGTGATCGCAAGTCTCTTCTGCTGAGGCAGTTATGCAGGGCACGGCCTCTACATACTTCGGGAAGTGATTTATCATGACTAAGACTTGATTATAACCACTGTCTGTCGTGCATATCTTTTGGTGATCAATCTGTACCACCTCGTTAAATTCAGATGACTCGATCGACTGCAAGGGAAATCGTAACTTCCTTGGATCCTTGACCTGTTAGCATGACAGACATGCTGTTAACCATTTCTCGCATGCCTTTTTCATCCCAGGCCACTCAAAGCGTTTCAGAATCCTCTGGTATACTTTGTCGATTCCCTGATGGCCCATCTGATCATGTGACCTGAATAAAAGTTCTGTTTGATGGAGTTGCGGCAAGACTATCGCATTATATTTGTACAGTACTTTGTCTTCTTCTCTTCTCTTGCAAGCCACAATCCCGTCCTTGTTCAGATATAACTTTCCCTCTTTCTGCATAGAGTACTGTCTCAGAATACGGTAACTGTCTTCCTCCAGGTCTCCTTTGTCCGTAGCACCATTGTCTATCCACCTTTTCAGGTTGCTTGTCATGCGGTCGTTTCTCGGCGCTCTTAGTAGGTCCGAGAGTCTGTATCTCGCTTTCAAGTACGTCTTCATGACCCTCATCTGACTATTCAGCTCATTGGGCTGATGTGTCTTCTTCCATCTTAACGCACCAAATCTTCGCCAACGACTGTGTTTCTTGTTTGAACGGCCGAAGATCAGTCCTGACTACCTCTTTCTGCGGCAGCAAGCTTATCGAACGTTTCGATACTGCTATTGTTTCCAAATCAGCTGCTGCGTTGTCAAAGACTCTTTCACCTGGTATGAGGTGGCGATCACTGTCGGGGTCTTGATATAACTCCCTGTCCAGATCTCTTGCTTGAGTCTCCACTAGTAGTGTGTGGATAGCTAGCTCTGACAGTTCCGATCCTGAGCTCGAGTTCCTGTCTGAGTAGGTGTCAATTCTTGAGTTCCGGGAACTATCATCTATTGAAGAGTCTGCGACGGAGCCTGTTCCCTCTCCTGGGTCAGTTCTGTGTGTCCTGCTCATCCACATGAACTCTCCGGACACAATTTTGTTCTGCTGGTCCTGTTCCTCATCAGGAACTTTCTCTTCTACATCAGACTCCCCGGACAAACTTTCTTGTCCCGGTTGTTGATGCTGAACTTGCCCTCCCGCTTCACCGTCCGTCTCCCCGGACAAATTTCCTTGCTCCAGGCTTCGAATAACTTCCTCGCTTTCCTTCTGCAGGTCATCAAAGGTAACGGTTTCCTTTTGTATGTCGTTCCCCTGTTCTTTCCGTTTCTATGAAGTGCTTTTCAAAACTTCTCGGGGTATTGAGGATACTAGTTGCTGATTTTTTGTCCTACAATCCCTCTCATTATCTTTGCGTTGTCGTATTGACGGCATGATCTTCAACTTCTCACGGACTGTCAGTGATGCCATAGCTGCTGCCCACTCGGGGTCATCTCTGGTCACTTCTCCCTCTAACAATCCACCCAGCATCCGCATCACTTGCGGTGTGACTTGCACCGTTTTGTCCAATAATGAGAGGCTGTTTATGTTCATGCGAGAGAGTTCCTGCTGGACCAGGTTTGAGCGCAGCAACAGATCCAAAGGCACCGGGTCCTATTTGGATAGAATCTTTATTTCGGCTGATTTTTCTACAGGTAACACAGGATGCCCTGGAGTTGGATGTCCAGACTTGTCCAACCATCTCATCAAGGGAAGCGCTTCATAAGTTTCTTTGTCCAGAAACGAGAATCCTTCCTTGATTTCTGTCTGATTGGCTTGCTTCTGTTTCAATCTTTCATAGTACTCGGTTTTCTTGCTAAGGCTGTCAGCATTCTGGTGTTTGTCACGCATCCTGTGCTCGATTATCATGTGGCCATCTAATCTTACTATCCATCTACCAATATAACTCTGATCCATCGAGTATGTCTTCAACCAGGCGTAACTTAAAGGGGGCGCTCCCCAAGTATGCGCGGTACTTTTCCACGAATGTGACTACAGCAAACATTTCTGCTTTTGGTGCACCATATTTCATCTCAGTGTCTTTCAACACCTTCCTGCCATATGCAATGGGATGGAGAACCGTTCTTCCATTCTATTCCTGCTCCTGATGCAGTATCCCTGAGATGGCTACTACTGATGCGTCTGTGTCAAGAACATATATGCACTTTTCTTTAGGCATGCCTAGCACTGGCGCCTCGCACAGTTCCCGCTTTTTGTTCTCGAAGGCAGCTTGAGCTTCTTCGTTCCATTCGAACTTCTTTCCTTTGCTGCGCATCAGCCTCTGCATTGGATACACCTTGTCTGCATATCCTTTTATGAACTCACGGTAATAATTGGCAAACCTTAGGAAGCTCATGAGTTGTGTGTCCGTTCTGGGAGCCTTCCATGTCAACGCAGCCTCTACTGCTTCCGGGTACGGCCTCACACCATGCTTGTCCACCATTCTTCCTAGATACTTGATTGAATCCCTAAGGATTTCACATTTCAATTTATTTGCATTTCAAGCCTGCTCTTTTCATGCATCCAAAGACCTCATCGAGCCGATCAAGATGATCTTCCAGGGTTGGTGTTGCTATGATCACGTCATCCACATAACACATCACAAGATTCCCGTACTTCTTCGTCACTCTGGTCAAAGCCCATGGCGATTTCGGGGGTTCTATCATGTCGTATTCGAGCAACATTTCTATTTCCGCTCGGCACGCTTCCGATTAATGTGGCGTCATTCGTCTTGCGCCTTCCCTATGGGGAACGGCGCCTTCCTCAAGTTCGATTTCGCGTTCGACGAAGTGGCAGCAACCGATATTCGCCTTATGTTTTGAAAACACATCCGCGTTCCGATTTAAAACCGCCCGCAATAATTCAAAATCTCCCTCGCCTATTTTTCTTTTTAAGTGTTCTATTTCTGGCAAAACCGGTTTGTCAGATTCTAGTTCATATAACGAGGGGCGTTCCCGAAAAATCGAGCAGCTCGACAAACCGTCGTCCGTTTCGGAATTCATTGAAAACAGTTTATAGTTAGATTTTAATTCATTGATCCTTTTTAAAACTTTATCTTTATTGGCATGATAAGGACATTCTTTCACATTATATCTCTTCAAGTTTTGTGTCTCTTCATAGTCGGTCCTCATCGGCAAAGCGTAACCAAGTTTCTTTCCAAGCTGGATTGAAACCGTGGTGTCTATTGTGTTCAATATAACACTGACACACAGTCCGTTTCGAGTTACCGAGAAGCTCCGGCCTTAAATCACTGAACTTTGACTGTTTGGATTCGGTACTAAACAAACCTGTTTACTATCACTTAACAATATCAAATTCTTCATTCTAAAAATTGCTACCACAGCCTGTCCCGTCTGTAGTTTTAACTTTCTATCTAAAAAGATTGGTACCTTGTTTTCATCTGTTATTATTCTATTAATCGGTTTCTTAACATACTTCCAGTCCGGGTTTCTAATCCTTATTAGACCGTTGTTCAAGTCAATCATCACTTCGAAATTCCTGACAAAATCTCTGCCCAAGATGAATTGGTTGGAAGCATCCAGTTTCTCTACTTCCAGGAAGCTCATCCAAAGATGCCGTCCTGCCATGTGGAGGATCATTATTGGTGTTCTTCCGGCTACGTAAATCGCTCCTCGATTGCCCGCGGCCAGTCGGAGATTCGTCGGAATTAGATCTTCCCTCGTGAAGCCCAATTTTTCCCATGTTTTTATCGGCATCACGCTCACTACCGCTCCTGTGTGCAGAAGCCCTGTAACTCGGATTTTCTCTCCGTTGGTGTCGAGCAGATGTGCACTCATCAATATGAACCGCGTCTTGCTCCATCATGGCGTCATGGCCTATCCTACGGACTCTAAGATCTTCTTCACCCAAATAGATCTACCCTATTTGGTCACTGTCTGTTGTCACATATGTCCTAGTGTAGATACTGATTCCATCCACGTTCAGCATCACTTGATACGGTCCATAGACTTCCACGTAACGTGAAGTTTCTTTATTCGAGGGCCACCCGTTGTTAATAGTGCTCGCACATCCCTTGACTCAGTGCGTGGCTCCATCTGCCTCAGATAATCTGCATATGTGTCCAAATGCATCAAAGTGAACTCTGATGGTTAACTCAGATTTCTGATTACCTGGTGTCCCGCTACCGAGATTATTGATTGTTTTTTGCTTCCTTGTGGCACCATACCGAACCTCTGCCCGGAGATCCTGCTCAAACTACTTGGTGCTTTTGTTTCTTCAACCTCTGATGCCCCGAAGGCATTCAGTTTCTCCTGTAGTTTCTCATTTTCCAATTCGAGCGCCTCTTGTCCATATCGTCCCTTGGTTTGTACCAGTTGTTCCCTTGTTTTGCTGGTCCGTTGTTAAAATTGCAATAATTGTTCTGGTAATATCCAGATCTCGATGGAGACTTCAGCAAAAGACATTCGTTTGACTTGAGTCTCAACTCCTCTGGTGTTGGCGCATTGGTTGAGACTGGTGTGTAATGTGTTGCTAACATTGTTCGAAGTTCATCATTCTTCACACCATCGATGAATTTTGAGGCTACTGCCAGGTTCATCCTTCTGTTTGACTCATCTGGTTGGCTACGCCTTCTCAGCATCTCCAAATCGTTTAGAAACTTGTCTATCGTCTCATCTTCTTGTTGCCTCCGTTTCTCGAAGCGCATCATTGCTTGGTGTCCCTGCACCCCTGAGCCAAAACGATTCAACAAGATTTCAAAGATTTTCTCTGCAGTGTCCCGTTGTTATTGCTTTTTGGCCATCACGCTGTTTCGGGCTGTGCCTTCCAAGTTACTGGTGAGCGCACTGCATTCTAGTCTTTCTATCAAGTCCTCTTATCGGACAACCATGTCTCGCTATCCACGTGTTGATTAGGTGATCGCGAGTCTCTTCTGCTGAGGCAGTTATGCAGGGCACGGCCTCTGCATACTTCGTGAAGTGATTTATCATGACTAAGACTTGTTCGCTACCTCATAGGGGTGCAGGGACATATTTCATGACTAACTGTCTTTCTCCAGGTCTCCTTTTTCCGGAGCACCATTGTCTATCCACCATTTCAGGTTGCTTGTCATGCGGTCATTTCTCTGCGTTCTTAGTAGGTCCGAGAGTCTGTATCTCGCTTTCAAGTACGTCTTCACGACCCTCATCTGACTATTCAGCTCATTGGGCTGATGCGTGTCTTCTTCCATCTTAACGCACCAAATCTTCGCCAACGGCTGTGTTTCTTGTTTGAACGGCCGAAGATCAGTCCTGACTACCTCTTTCTGCGGCAGCAAGCTTATCGAACGTTTCGATACTGCTATTGTTTCCAAATCAGCTGCTGCGTTGTCAAAGACTCTTTCACCTGGTATGAGGTAGCGATCACTCTCGGGGTCTTGATTTATCTCCCTGTCCAGATCTCTTGCTTGAGTCTCCAATAGTAGTGTGTGGATAGCTAGCTCTGACAGTTCCGATCCTGAGCTCGAGTTCCTGTCTGAGTAGGTGTCAATTCTTGAGTTCCGGGAATTATAATCCCTTGAAGAGTCTGCGACGGAGCCTGTTCCCTCTCCTGGGTCATTTCTGTGTGTCCTGCTCATCCACATGAACTCTCCGGACACGATTTTGTTCTGCTGGTCCTGTTCCTCATCAGGAACTTTCTCTTCTACATCAGACTCCCCGGACAAACTTTCTTGTCCCGGTTGTTGATGCTGAACTTGCCCTCCCGCTTCACCGTCCGTCTCCCCGGACAAATTTCCTTGCTCCAGGTTTCGAATAACTTCCTCACCTTCCTTCTGCAGGTCATCAAAGGTAACGGTTTCCTTTTTTATATCGTTCCCCTGTTCTTTCCGTTTGTATGAAGTGCTTTTTAAAACTTCTCGGGGTATTGAGGATACTAGTTGCTGAACTATTGTCCTACAATCCCTCTCATTATCTTTGTGTTGTCGTATTGACGGCATGATCTTCAACTTCTCACGGAATGTCAGTGATGCCATAGCTGCTGCCCACTCGGGGTCATCTCTGGTCACTTCTCCCTCTAACAATCCACCCAGCATCCGCATCACTTGCGGTGTGACTTGCACCGTTTTGTCCAATAATGAGAGGCTGTTTATGTTCATGCGAAAGTTCCTGCTGGACCAGGTTTGAGCGCAGCAACAGATCTAAAGGCACCGGGTCCTATTTGGATAGAATCTTGATTTCGGCTGATTTTTCTACAGATAACACAGGATGCCCTGGAGTTGGATGTCCAGACTTGTCCAACCATCTCATCAAGGGAAGCGCTTCATAAGTTTCTTTGTTCAGAAACGAGAATCCTTCCTTGATTTCTGTCTGATTGGCTTGCTTCTGTTCCAATCTTTCATAGTACTCGGTTTTCTTGCTGAGGCTGTCAGCATTCTGGTGTTTGTCACGCATCCTGTGCTCGATTATCATGTGGTAGCCATCTAATCTTATTATCCATCTACCAATATAACTCTGATCCATCGAGTATGCCTTCAACCAGGATAACAGTCTGTTGTCCACGCGTAACTTAAAAGGAGCACTCCACAAGTATGGCCGGAAATTTTCCACGAATTTGACTACAGTAAACATTTCTGCTTTTGGTGCACCATATTTCATCTCAGTGTCACTCAACACCTTGCTGCCATATGCAATGGGACGGAGAACCGTTCTTCCATTCCATTCCTGCTCCTGATGCAGTATCCCTGAGATGGCTACTACTGATGCGTCTGTGTCAAGAACATACATGCCCTTTTCTGTAGGCATGCCTAGCACTGGCGCCTCGCACAGTTCCCGCTTTATTTTCTCGAAGGCAGCTTGAGCTTCTTCGTTCCATTCGAACTTCTTTCCTTTGTTGCGCATCAGCCTCTGCTTTGG